GTCAACTTTATTCCTAATAAAGATGTCAAAGGCCTCTCAATTCCCATGTTTATCTCGTTTATTATGAAATCACAGCTCTGTTAGAGGTTGTTCATTCATTCATTGCTACATATATACGTATACGTATGCATTCAGTCCTTGCTATTAATGATTAGTGAGATTTGAAGGCTGAATTCGAATGGAATTCAGTCAAGGAATTTGTTGATGAGATTGATGCCTATAATCACTGCTTGTTTCTTTGGGTTTCATTTTTAAAGTAATTGAATGGCTCAAATGAAAATCTTGTTAGCATAGGATGGATGGATACTCTGGAATTTTCTTAACAGATCGGGGGATGAAAATCTTGTTTTAGAATTGGTATTATCTTAACAGAAGAACACATACAATTTGGTTGATTATGACAACACTTCATCATGTATTTTATACTAATAGCAAATTTTAAGTAGCGTATATACCGTTTGAAAAACATGCAATTACGGATATTTAATATTACTCCTAATTTAAAGGTATGAGGATATTTTTGTCAATGTAAGTGAAAACACTTCCATTACTAACACTTCATTTTTTAACTCTCCCAAGCAAGGTAAGATTATGTTCAACACTTACACTTACTTCCCCTTTCGGGCCCCTGCCAACACCTACTAACACTTCCATTACTAACACCTCACAACACTCCATCCAAACAGGCCGTAAAGGTAGTATTGCTTGTACAAAATATGGTAAAAAATATATTCATTCTTATCTCAATATAATAATAGGATATTCAAACTTGGAAGGATGGAATACTAAGAACTGACAAATTTTATTATGTATTTATATTTGGGGAACTGACAAATGGAAACTAATAATCCAACCTTTTAGCGGTCTTCTTACAATAGTCCCACCTTTTGATTATTCATGAATAATCCAACCTTTGCACCTCATCTTCATTCACTGGTCCCTGACCGGTTGATGACCTGCTATTCCAAGTTATTTTCTTATCTTTGCAAAATATTATCTTTGTGAAAGGTGAGATTTATGGTATAATGGTTTGCAAAGATAAGAAAATAACTTGGAATAGTAGGTCATCAACCGGTCAAGAACCAGTGAATGAAGATGAGGTGCAAAGGTTGGATTATTCATGAATAATCAAAAGGTGGGACTATTGTAAGAAGACCGCTAAAAGGTTGGATTATTAGTTTCCATTTTCCCTTTATATTTTTGGTACTAGAGAAAAATATGTTTTTCATTCTAAAGTTGAAAAGTATATAAACCTTGTCTAGAGTTTGTTAGATATTGACATCTGTATTTGTGTGTCATTAAAGAATGAATAATTTAAACAATTACAAGTAAAAAGGTTTTACACGCCCACACTTGCAAGGCCTAAAACTTGGTCTCGCCGGTTTATCTCATAGCCTACGGTCCCCACACCACTTAACAAGCTTTTTTCTCGTCTTTTTGACAACTTAACCATGGTCTTGACAGACTTGAACACTCTCCTGTGGTAATTTAGGCCTCCTTTGGATTGACTTGTAATCCACGTAAATCCCCTTATTCCAATTTCCTTTAATGAGGTGTGATGCACACCTTTAGATTAGCAGATTAGGGAAACCAAGGAATTGAGGAATTGTCCTGCTTTTGTCAATTCCTAAAATAAGAGCTCATCGAATGCTTTCAATGAACCATTGACTTTTGAGTGGTTCCGTGGAATTGACTGAACTCTCATTATACCAACTGTCTTTTCATCTAAATTTCAATAATCCAATTCTTCGTAATCCATTTCATTTCCAACAACCAAATTAATCCAAACCAATACTGAATTCTTTGCAGTGATTTTCTAGATTATTAGTCGTAGTATTAAGAAACATAAATCTTAAAAGAATGGGGAGCGATAAAAGAAAAGAAAAATTCTCTAGATTATATATATACCTTATTTAGTCAAACTAAGCGGACCTGGGAAGTAAGCGAAATGGACTCAAAAATACAACCGAGTGAAGGACCAAATACACAGAAACCAAACAAGCATTTACTGAAGTAGATTGAACTAATTGAAGCGTATCTGCGTGTGCATACAGAAAGCAATCACTGAGATTCGATCGATAAATACCTTAATCTTCGTGGCTTCAGCTGCGAATCCGGCAATAGCAGATAAAAGCCCTAGGAATCCCGCAACGGAGCATACTACTACCACGTTTCTTTCCATTTCCAGTGATGTTCTTCTTACTCCTCCACCACCTCTCTCTCAATCAGCGAAGATTCTAGTAGAGATTTACTCCGCTTTTTAACCGTCGGAGACTAACCGGAGAGAGCAAGAGAGGGAGAGAGTATTTCTGGTAATAGCGACGATCAAGTAAGGTAATGATGAATGAATGCCTTCAGAAAAGGGAAAGCAGACTTCATCCTTCTCGAGAGTCAATTTGTTATTACTCCGTATTAATTGCTCCGAATTTTTTATGCATTATCTTTCTTATGCTAAAATATCAATAAATAATTCACGCACTCGATGTTCTCAAAGAAGTCAGCGCGTGGGACATTATTAAAAGCTAGATGTGACAATATGGTTCCTCCTATAGTCAAGATTTTTTTTATCATTCCTATAGTCAAGATTTATTCTTTGATTTTTTTTTTATTATCACACGGGCCTCTATTCAGAATCATTACATCAAACAAAAGGAAAATAAAACTGACACCAACTGAAACTTCAACAACTACGACTGTAACCCTATGGTGAGACTTTGAGACGGTCACCCCTGAGAGAGCAACACGAATCGCTAACCATGTAGTGGGCTTGACACAGCCAAAACTATTCTCATAGATCCAACCATACCCAATGACATAAAGAGAGGCAAAAAACTCAAACAAACTGTCAAAACCAACAACAAAAGTGGACATAAGAAAACAAATAACAAACAGATAAAAACTACAAGAAAAGCGTTCACGAACTCTAGCACCTCGTACATCACATGGTGGTGGTTCAGGAGGAGGTCTTACCACCGGTACCATGCTAATTGATACTCCGTGACCTTTGGCTGCCAAAGGCCATGCATCAATCCTCCGTCCCTGCATAACCAAACTCCTCCCTGCCCCATGCAACCAGAGTAAACGGATAGGCGGCGCCGATCTTCTCCAACGACGACAGCAACGCATCATCCTCGAACCTTGACCACAACGCCGATCTCTTCGAGCCATGACAGCAAATCCGCCCTTCAAGGACGAGGCACAAACAACAACAACCGTCCTTCGATTAAAATCGAAGACGGAAATAGCGGCCGTCCTTTGATTAAAATCGAAGACGGAAAAAGCGGCCGTCCTTCGATTAAAATCGAAGACGGAAAAAGACTCCATTTATTCTTTGATTTTTAATTTTCCCTTTTTTAGTTTTTTTTACTATTATGCGAGAAATATTTTTAGCTTTCCATGTCTCTCACATTTAATCCGTAAGTATTTTCAAATTGACACTTTTATCTTTTTCATTATGATTTTACTACAAAATATGGAAGACTGAAAATGCCACCATTATAATAGTTGAAAGACTAAAAACACCACTAAAAGTAGGAGTAAAGATGTAAAATTTCAAACACAGGTACCAAAAGCGTTTTTAACACAATAGTTGAAGGTTCAAAAGTGAAAAAATCAGAATCGAATATCAACAGTGTCAATAAAATAATAATTCATGGATCAAAAGTGAGAAAAAGTATGTTGACCTTAAGAGTGTGAACTCTATATTGTATGTTTGGGGTCATGGTGATCAATGATTTGGGTTGATTCTTTGGAAGTGGATGTCTCAATATCTAATTTTTAGTGAGTTTAGATGAATTTTTTTGGAAGATAAATGAATATTCGCCCCGTGAAAGTTTTTTGCAAAAAATCAATATAAAGAATAGTAAAAACCAAGGATTATTTAGACTTAGTGAATCATGAAAAAACTGTAGAATAATTCGTTTCAAGTCAAATATATTGAAAAAAAATCACTTAATCCCTTAATATATGAGATTTTCCCTTAAATATTACAAAGTACTAAAATACTACATCACTAAAATACTACATTACTAAAATTCTAATTCATTCGTTCTTTAAAACTTTGCAAACTTACTTTTTTAGTTGTCTCAATAACTGTGTCACTTTACCTTTTTAGATATTTCTCTCTCATTTGCACAAATCTCAATCACGCAGTTTTTACTATATTAATTTATGTGCCGGTAAACCTTACTAAGTTTTAAGAGAAGTATGAAAATTTAAGGAAAAAATATTACCATATTTTAGAATTGAACCAATCGTAGTCACTGATGTTACTACGATAGACACACATATATACACATGTGCATATATAATATTGTATATAAAATATAATATAAACGATATTATGTATATATTGTGTTGTATTGAATCGCATTGTATAAATATATCAATGGTCAAAGCTTGATACATTTAACTATGAAAATCAAAATTGCATAATGTATTACTTTGTTACATTGATAATTCATCTAAACTCATGCATCTACATGTGAATATAAATGTAAATATTACTATCCTGATAGTAGTCCTAACGACCTAACATGATCACTGATATCTATCTATTTAGAGATGATTTTCTTTTTATCTCATTGTTGGATAAATAGGGACTTTAAGTCTTTAACAGTCATTTTGATTTTATCTCTTTGTGTTATGTCAACATATTTCATCCAATGATATTTTCCATCATTTATAATGGAATCAAGGACTCACTATTTTTGGCTTGAGAATATGATTAAATAAAGCAAAATAACTCACTAAACTAACTACGCTTTTTTATTATGAAACACCGGTAATCCATGCAATTTTTGGACGCAATTTTCACTACGGATCATCCGAAAACATTCTCTTCATGTTGTAGTACAACTTTATGGCTACGAACATCCGACCCTCTTACCTTACCGTAGGAGGGATCTTTGTGGCACTCAGGTAATGGAGATGATGATGGTTGCATCCGAGGATACTAGTAATCTAGTATACGGTTGAAAATGGTTGAATGTTGGCATCAAAGGATTTCCTACATTTATTTTATGATATATTCGGAAAGGACCGTACCAATTTTCTGATTATGTGATGGTAGTATGGTACCATTACATCTCTACAAGTCTACTAACAAGTAAGAAGTCGGTATACATTGGGCATCGATATTTTTATGTATGTTTCTAATGAGTAGCACAGAGATGGAATGTGGGGATTCAGAACATTACAGATCCCATTAGAAGTATACAAACATATGTTACATTATCAGGAGAAGATGGACATATTTATTCAAGTGTGGCCAGCTTCTCATCATCATCATCAAAGGCCTTCCTGGCTTGTTTGATCTCTTCATTCATCGACAATAGCTCTGTGCATCGGTTAAGTTTTGGCAAGTCCTGCACAATGATAACATAATATGGCAAAACCCCTCAAATTGTGTTGAATTTTAGTTTTATAGTTTGATTCTCCAAATCAATCTATAAATAAATGCAGAAATATGGAACAAAAGTGTAGTCTCCCGTTGACTGATTGTACTAAAACATAGGGGAAGACGGGAAGTGGGAAAACAAGGAACCACAAGGGCAAACTGCTGTTCTTTATTCCCCCATTTTAGTATCAGGTTACTTTTTGGTCCCATTATTGCTCAATGGTTCGACAGGTTAAAGCCAGTTTAAGTTTATTACACATTAATATTGAAGTTCGGTGATTATTGCTAGGTCTGGAAGAGCTAACTGCGCTTAAAACTTCAAAATGTGTCCAATTTATTTAAAAGCTCTAATAAGTACAGTAATACACAGGAAAAAGCACTATTACTTCATAGCTCATATGTCAGTAATCCATAGCTCACATGTCTCCACTCAATCAACTGCCTATTACTCCGTACTTCTTTTACATTGAAGATACATCAATCACTTACACTGCCACATCAAGATGGGTTAAACACTTAAACTAACCCGGTTAATAACATGTATTTGAAAAAACTTCAAATAAATCAGTTAGGTAGTTAGGCAACATACACTCAAAAGGTTATAAGAAATAGAATGCACCAGATGAACTAACCTAATGTTAAAAGTTAAAAAGTAACTTGCATAGCAAAAGCCTTAAATGATCTACCTTTCGAATTAAAAACAGAAAATCTTCTGTCAACCGCCTCCCTCTTTTGGAGGCAAGATCTTGAGCTTTGTGTACCTAGAGCCATTATAAAATAAATGCTTCCAATTAAAAAATGCAACTTTTTCTTCAAAAAAGAACAATTCAAACAAAAGGAATTTAAAAGATTCCAAATGAAAAATAGCAGATTCAGAAAGTTTCCACTCACCATATCTGTGACATATTCCACAACAATGTCTTCTACAAGTGCTACACTCTCTGGAAGTGGCTGAAATGAAGCAGCACTTGTTAATAAATAAGACAAACCAAATGAGAGTAGCAACACTTAAAAGAGGATTTATGGCATAAGATCACATGGAGGATTGATCTGTTTTTGTTCGTCTCCCTTTTTCCTCTATTTATTGTTTCTAACTTCAATGTCATATTTCTATTTATGTTAGCTGACCTCAAAACTCTTTCGGGATTAAGACATGGCTGTTATAGTTTTTGTCGTTGTTGATCACATCATAGCAGCATTATCAAAATATCAAATAAACAAACAGTGCACCAGATTTGATTTCGTCTAACAAAATTCCAGCATACATATACGAAGGGAACTGACTGGTAGGGAAAAATAAAAATACATACATTTGGAGCATCTCCAAATCCATACATCATACGCTCTACTGCACACCACCAACAAAATAGAAGAGTAAGTTTTTGCAACACAGATAATTAAAAATTCTGACAGAATTTTTTTCAGAGGAGGGAAAGGTAACTTACACTCCTTCTGAAACATTCCACGTTTACGTTTAAATGAAACTTCTGATGGTTGAGACGCTCCAACTTTGGCTTTTGAAGAGGGTCCAGCTGCTGAGTTGCTCATTTCTACGCTAACACCTTTGGTTTACTCGCTACCAAATCAGTAGCAAATGCGATGATATCCTTCACTGCAAGGACCAATAACTATCTTCAGGGAAGGTCCTGAAAAAATGGGGACCCTATGCAACAAAAAATGAGCTTTTCCCAAGTTCCAACATACTTAGCACTTAATCATATACTTATGCCAATTTCTTAAATCTATTGTTAAACACACTTATTCTCAATTCAATTACTTAATAAGGAGTAAGTAATAATAAGTGCAATAAATAACAAATAACAACATCGCAAGTAGGCAACACGCTAATTTCACTAATTTGCAATTCAAAGAAATCAGAAAATCATAGTGCTTAGTTGCGTACCGGTTACTGCGGGTAGCGGCCTAGCGTGGACAGTGGACTGCTGGTCAGCACGAACTGGTAGGGCGTGAATGCGTGAGGGCGTCGTGCGTAGGGACAGTGCGGTGATGGAAGGATGGAGCCTGGCGCTGGATGGCGGGCGGCGTTGGTCGTCGACTGACTCGACTCGTCGGCGCTTTCAGCTTTCTCTTCCCTGTCTTTCTCTTCGGTCTGTTTTTTTTCTTCAGCTTCGGACCTGGGCTGAGTACAACTACTACCCCGGAGACCGGAGTACCATTTTGTTTCGGGCCTTCCAAACATTTGGGCACTGTGTGCACCTTCCTTGGGCCGGCCCTGACTAGGAAAATTGGAAGCTTGGCTAGAATTGAGAATTTGAGATGATTTAGAATTGTTTATCGGCTATTAAAAATTAGAGCTTGTTTTGTAACGTTGGAATTGATTGAAATGACTTGACTGAAGTAGTTGCGTGATTACGTTGGTTTATGAAAAAATATATTTAAAATATATTTTATTAATAAAATAAAGAAAAAATTATATGAAAAAACAGTTACAAGGGTCATCTACAATAATTACAGCCAACACAGTTAGAAAATTAACTTCAACCTTATTTTTTCTTATTATTACACACCTCGCTAACTCGGTACGAGAAATCAAAAGTTACGTGTTTAGTTAAAAAGTCGGATGAAGTCAAAAAAGAGTCACCAAACAGACTCCGAATAAAATTTGGCCACTTTCGAATTGTGACACCGAAAAAAGTCCTCAAAAATATACTCCGTATAATCTATGTACAATGTTTTGTGAACAATATTTTCGCCCAAAGTATGGAGCAGCACGAGTCCACCTTATAAAAGTCTCAAAAATAGAAGTATATACTTACTAAAAATTTGTATTACCCATAGTGGAGACTTTTATTATAAGACACTAAAAACAGTAGAAAACTATAAACATTGATGAATGTGAATCAATGAACCATTGAACACACTATACAAGCATAGGGATGGACTCGGTTCGGGCCGGGCCCGGTTCGGACCTTGAACCGGCCGGGCCTCGGTTCACGGTTCGGGCCACCCGCCCGGTTCACGGGCCGGTCCTTTTAATTTTTTTTATATTATATACTCCCTCAGTCCCAAATTGTAAGATACATTTACTATTCACTTGGTCAACATAAATCTCTCTTAATCTTTTATTTTATATATCAAAAGTTTATGAAATTTGAATTATTTTTTGAAGACTTTGTAGCAGTTTTAATATAGTTTCTGAATATGTAAATTTTATTTTCTAGAACTAATTTGAGTGTTGACAGGGATCAATTTGCTTTATCGTCGGTCAAACATCGTAAACCGTAATGTATCTTACAAATTGGGACAGAGGGAGTATTATATTACTCCCTCCGTCCCGAAAACAACTTCCCACTTTCCTTAAATGGATGTCCCAAAATTAACTTCACACTTCAATACTTTCCTTATTTGGCAAATTATGTACATCAAAAAAGTGATAAACAGTGCCAAACAGTGTTTAAACAGTGCCAAACAGTGTTTAAATAGTGCCAAACAGTGTTTAAACAGCGCAAAACAGTGCATTCTACAGTAAAGTCAAATTTATTTCCTAAAATTGTGTGAAAGTCCAACCGGGAAGTTGTTTTCGGGACGGAGGGAGTATTATAATAATTGTTATTAAAAACAAAATTCAAGTGCATTTATTTGAAATAGGAAGTACATTTGAGAATTGAGGAAAAAATAACAATATGAAATACATTTTCGAATAAATATCAATTGGGATTTCCGCCACCGTTGGTTGTTGTTTTACCTTTGTCACATGACTTGATATGTTTCATTGGCATCCCAACTCCGTGTGAACGCCCCAAGCAACACTCTTTCTTGCACCACTTGCAAGTTGCCCACCACAGTCCGGTCTTCGGGTCCTTCCACTTATCAAAGTTGTTTTGCATAACAGAAGAATTACTTTCCATCTTTAAAATGGTAGATGTATAAGTAGAAATGTAGGATAATAAGAGAAGATGAAGATGGAGAAGAGTTGGAGAAGAGGTGTAGAAAATGGTAGAAAATAGATGTATTTATAGATTTTTTTGAACCCCACCCCCACCCCACCACCCCCGGGACCCCCCTGCCCCCCACCCTAAGCCCCAACGGCTATATAGCCGTTTGGGAGCAATCTCCCACTTCAAAATGTTTTAATTTTTTTTTTGAAAATTATACATATTGTGTATAATTTACTTAGAAAAGTGATTTTATTTAGAAAAGTGTAAGGAAAGTGGAGTTTTTTTTCGAATTAATGTTAATTAAATAATTATTTACGAAAATAATGCTGGAAAAAAACTTATTACTGATCTACTGCTGGCCTAAACCATGGTCAGGGGTAAGTCGCCCAACGGTTGGGCGACTTACCCCTGAAATATGGTTGAAGGCGTGCAGCTACTGCCAGCCACGCACGATCGTGCGTACGCTGGGACGCACGATCGTGCCTATGTCCGAAAATAGCATTTCAGCAGTTTTTTCGCTCCAGTTCAACCCGGACTCATCTGTTTGGTATAAATAAGGTCTCTCTTCTCCTGTTTAAGTGTTATGAGCCAGATAGAACACATTATAAAACATACAACACACGTCTTCACAATCACATACATAACACCTACTCTCATCAACATAAAAAACGCCTTGAAAATACCCTTTACAAATCAAATACAAAAACTTACATTCATAACTGGTATAACACAGTACAATCATCCAAGATTCATAACAAGTAATCAGCTAATATTCATACTCGAACACATCAAGACAACATACAAGACTTTACAAGAGAAAATACGTCAAATGTTGTAAATTGTTCCTACAACATCTACTGCATAATAAAAACTACAATACTATAGACAAACTACAAGTTCCCATCATCAGCTTCGTCATGGAGATGTTGCTGCTCATGTCTACGCCTACGCCGTTGTCGTGGTTGAAGAACCACTCTCTCATGTTGCGTCTGGGATGATGAAGCCGCCGCTGCACTAGACGTGGATGGCATCTCCTGAGATGAGGGCATGTGTATAAGATGGCCGTAGTCGACTCGTCCCAACACATCTGAACACAAGGAGGCAATGCCTGTCAGAGCCTGTCCATACATGTCGACATCATGACTATCAGTCACTGTGGTAGTAGCCCGCTGATGTATGCGCTGCAAAGCTCGTGTCTGAAATATGAAACACAATTACAGTTACATAGAAATACATAGAAATATTAAATAAATAAAATGGCTTACTTTACTAATTACTAATATACTCACCGTAAGATGCAAAGCCAAGGAGCTAGGCTTATATTGATGAGTAGGGAGTCTGAACGAAGGAGACACAAACAAACGAGTGATGCTGTAATACCATCCCATATAGTCTCCTGAAACAGATGGGACAAATGTCGGTGTCCCAGCCACAACTAGCTCAGCTCGCCTCTCCCACATAATGACGTATCTGACATGTCTGAGTGCCCAATCCTCTGTATGCTTCCCACGCCTATCCAGCCTATGCAGCTCAACATAAGTGTCGATAGGCCGTGGAATGACCTGCTCAAATCCAAACTGTCGCAACACTCTATCAGGCAAATGAAGCTCAACAATGTCAAAACATATCAACGGCACACGTGCTCGCCATATGTGAGTATGCTCTCGTCCAGCTGGGGGCAACTCTGCCAACATATCAAGTGTAAACGGCATCCATGTGATCTGTTTCATAAAGATACAAAAGTTAGTATTTATTCTATACATATTATAGTTAATGTTATATAACCCACACCATACCTGATCCTCAGACATCCGATCAAATGCATCCCTGTACACACCGAGCCCAGTAGCGGATGACATGTGAGATAGACCAGCATATAACCATCTAAGCATTCATGTAACAGTATCATTAACATGGATGTTATTAATATATTTGCATTCAACATACAATCACATAAATACCAACGATTGAAAACATACTGACGGCTTAGAGGGTCCTCGCCACGCACATGATGTGGTCCTAGAAGACGTGGAGGCTCATCAGGCAGTGGGTGTCCATCAATGCCATGATACGCGACTAAAATGGGACGCCCAATGTGGATATACTCCCACGACCAAATCTGGAGGAGTAACAAAAATCCCCCAAGCTCTGTGCTCCCTCTCTGGCAGCCGCGGCACAACTGTCTGTACAGATAAGCCAGTGTGGCACTACCCCAGCTGTGCTGTGCTGCTACATCAAACCTCTCAAGCATAGGCAAGTGCAGCACCTGAATCTCATTTCCGCTCTTATCAGCGAAAATGGAGGCTCCCATCAACATCAAGATATATGCCCGGGCATGCTGCTGGATCATCACCTCATCAGCGTCTGGAGGAAGCACCTGGAAGTGCTCCCTCAACCATGGTATTCTCAGAGATGATCCCTGAAGGTCAGTCCTTAGAACGGGGCAGATACCTAACAACCGCTCACACTCATCAACCCACTGTCGACAAGCAGTGCCTATAACAGCTCTCCCATCTACCTCTAACCCCGTAAGTACAGCAACATCTCCCAATGTCACTGTCACCTCACCAACAGGTAGGTGAAATGAGTGTGTCTCCTGCCTCTAACGCTCAAGTAGAGCAGTGAGAAGCGCTCTATCTAGAGGCACAGTAGCTACTAATCTGTGGAGAGTATAAAAACCCGCAGCACGAACATAGGCTATCACTCTGTCGTCGACGTGCAAATGCGACAAACCCCTCAGGTGCTCGCGGCACCTATCCACCTGAACATCCATCCCAAGCCAAACATCCTCACTCCTGTGTGAGGCCTGCAATGTCAAGACAGAACTATCACTCGGCCCAGGATCCGCTGTCACCTCCATGCCTACAAACAAACAAAATAGTATTAGTTGTTATTCAATAATATATTTTTTTTAACATCTTTTTTTGAAATTATTATTTTTACTTGTAACGCAAACACGAGTTGTGATTGACTACAAATATAACCTTACCCAGCGGACCCCCCCTCCTGTGTAGACGATCTCTTCGCACATGTGGCTCTATTATGGCCGGTTTGGTGGCATTTTCCACATCTAACCGTTCCTCGTGGACCTTCATCCATCTCATTCTTAATACGTGTCAACTTTGGTCTTCCCTTAGCCCGAAGCATGGATGGATCATGCACGATTTCGGGTCCATTGTAAGTAGGCCAATATTCACGATCAGGAATCGGTTTGAAGACTCTATGATAAGTTGCGGCATATTGGTCAGATGAGAAAAACGTATCCACAAATGGAGCATAAGACAAACTACGTTGTCTGCACATGGCTAACACATGGGAGCATGGAATCTTATATATCTCCATCTTTTTACAAGTGCAAGTTTTCTGTTTTAGATGGACAGTTTGTTTTCTCCCACCCTTCCCCAACGTTCGGCCGCCACAACCGGTTTCCACTTGAAATATACCTCGTCCTAAATCAAGTGGAGTAACACTGTGATGCTTTGCCTTTTCTCTATTTTTCTCAATTAAATCTGTGATGTATGGGGAGTACTCGTGGCCTTGTGTCAGCCTCATTTTACTAGTTTCACGCCTAGTAACAAAGTAAGCATTAACCCGGTAAAAAGAAACCTGGACCAAAGCGGTGATGGGCAAATATCTTGCATTTAGAAGTGATGGTACCGTATCTGTACCCGCCATCGTGGTGCAGTGACCACATTTCCGGGGGAATGTTGGTCAAAAATTGTCGTGCCTCCAAACTCATTTCACCTATCTTCTTGAACCCACCATCAAATTTCTTTTTCTGATGTTGTCGTGCGGTCCAGACAAAAAGATTTTTTAGATGAATGTCTTTGAAATGAGTATGCACATTTGATGCAAGATGGCGGATGCATAGCCTATGATGCCCATAAGGTTCCTCCCAAGTACTGCTCACCTCATTCATTGCCCTGATAATACCTCCATGTCTATCAGAAATGACACACAACTCCCTAGAAGTGACAAACTGCCTAATACATGCCATAAACCATGGCCAACTATCTCCATTCTCAGATTCAACAACTGCAAAGGCCACTGGAAATATTTGGTTGTTCGCATCACAACCCATGGCCACGAGCAATGTACCCTTGTACTTTCCATACAAGTGTGTACCATCAATAGTAAGTACGGGTCGACAATGCTTAAAACCATGTATTGATGCCTTGAATGCCCAAAAAAACTCTTTGAAACTGCATATAACCTGTGGGAGTATTGGGGGGTGGGTACCACTGAACAATAGTTCCAGGATTTGAATGTTGGAGCGCTGTCATGAAACGGGGCAATTCAAAACCCTAACATGAAAAATGAGATAAATTGGAGAGATTTACTTACCTAGAGTGCTGAAGAAGATGGAGATGAAAGATTATTGGCAAGATGGAGAAGACCTCGCCGTCACCGGAGCACGAGATTCGCCGGAGATGGAGCTGCACCCGTTGTCTTCCTCGCCTGCGTTCAGTTCGCCAGAGGTTGCTTTTGGATTTCTTCTGCGTTCTGTTCTGTGGCGTGGCCTTACCCGATAATTTTACTTAAGGGTAAGTCGCCAAACCGTTTGGCGACTTATAAGTCGCCCAATGGTTGGGCGACTTATAAGTCGCCAAACGGTTTGGCGACTTACCCCGATCATGGTTAATCGGGCAGTATATTGGTAAATAGTTTTAACCCAACCCTATTTTCGTAATTAATTAATTAATTAACATTAATACGAAAAAAAACTCAGGAAAGTGATATGATTTAGAAAATTATACATATTGTGTAAGGAAAATGTTTTTAATTTTTTAATTAAGTAAAACTATTTTTACTTAGAAAAGTGATTTGATTTATAATTTACAAATGTTACAAAATAGGTGTATAAGTTGTAACTTGTAAGTTTGTAACAAATTAATTAATTTACATATTAATATTACATATTTTAATTTAAAAACAGCCTTTAGATTTTACAAAAATAATTTCAAGTTGTAAGTTATAAGTTTGTAAAATTGTAACCAATTAATTAATTTGAGAAGTGCTACATATGAAGTACAAGTTTAGAAATGAATTTTATTGAATTGAATTATTGAATTGATGTACACAATAATATAAATTAATTCAAGTATATTTATTTCAAATAAGAAGTACAATTGAGAATTAGGATGCATTTAAAATATGTAATACATTTTGAAATAAAAAATCAATCGGAATTTCCGCCTTCGGTGGTTGTTTCTTCCATAAAGTGGCGGGTGGGAGCGATGGTCATTTCTTGAGTTCTTCGTTTGGCCTTCAACCAATCATGGAAGCAAACTAGCGTCTCAAGAGAGCTCGGGCTGAACCTCGTTCTATAATCGGTTAGGACGTTGCCGGCCGCACTAAATTCTTGTTCCACGGCAACTGTTGATATCGACATTGCTAGCACTTGCTTAGCCATCTTTGATAAAACCGGGAACGTTCTTTCATTATCCTTCCACCACTTAAGAACGTCAAAATCATCCCCAACTTCATAATCAACATTCAATGTTAGATACAAAGAAAGCTCGTTAACTGAGCTTTGTTCAGTAGCGGGAGTTGCTCTACTTTTTTTCATAAGAGAACCAAATGCAGATTTTAAAAGTGATTTTCCTTTAGATGAAGAAGATGTTCGCGGCATGGGAGGGGGTGCATTACCATATTGTGCATGAAATTCATTATACAATTGATGAAATAAATTACTAACCTCGTTGTATTCTTGTTTAGGGTCGATGGGATTATCATCGAACTCTTGAGTTGGAAAAATACAATTATAATAGTAATCTATACAAGTTGGCAACGAGGCAAGTCTATAACGAGGATCAAGAACAAATGTAATACTATATATATGCGGAACATGTGAATAATATTTTAAAAACTTTTGTTTCATGAAATCACAAAAATAACTAACGTAAGCGGCATCGGAAAATTCTAAAAATGCGCCGGCAAGATTAACAGCTTCAACAAAAAATTCATTTGCGGTAGGTTTATAAACATGACTAAAAGTTTGAGTTGCGTTATTAAAATATACCAAAACATTAACAATTTTTTCACAAGTGTCGATGTCAGCCGGGTCTATAATATAGTTACAAGTTTGCCTTAAAAAAGCAGGAAAATGATCTTTATATCTAATAAGTACTTGAATTAAGTATAAGTACTATTCCAACGAATAGACAAATCTTTAGGAAAAGCACAATAATTGACACGTCTTTCCTTCAAATATTGCCGCCATTGCATTTTTAGTGGAGTGTTAGCCTAAATCATTTTAATTCCCCCCTTCACTACCTCCAAAGCATGTCCTAATGCCGCTAATCCATCTTGTACACACAAATTTAGAGTATGACATGCACAACGTTGATGAAAAAACCTACCCATCAATGTAGAAGCACCACACAATTCACGCAATCTAGGTATAGCAGCAGTATTATTACTAGCATTATCAAAACCTACAGCAAACACCTTATCAAGCAAATTATACTCAATTAAAATACGCTCAATGAGAATATACATATTATCAGCAGTATGACGATCATTGAATTCACGAAAAGCAAGAACACGTTTATGCATATTTCAATCATCATCAATATAATGTGCAGTAAGACCCAAACAATATAAATGATGATAAGTATCCTCCCATATATCACTACAAATACTAACACGTCCATTAAAGTTTGCGAAAAATGTTTGTAAATTTTCTTTTTCGAAGTTATATTGCCTTATAACTTCTTTTTTAATCGTTTTGCGACTATAATCTTTAAATTGAGGATTTAAAGTACCTTGAGCATAATCTCTTAAAGCAAGACTTTCGGAAAAAATATAGGGTAAATTTTCTTCAACAATTAAATGAGACATACCAGTCAAATGTTTTTTATCATCATAGGAGAAATTATCAAAGGGTTGAGAATTTGCAAACCTCGATATTTGTGTTTGCTTCCCCTTGCCCTTGTCTATTTTCGCATACTCCACAAGATGGGCGGACTTAAGATGCCTTGTGAGACTCCCATATCCGCCAGAAGTTCCCAAGCTATACTCTTTGCCGCAATGATTGCAACTTGCGTACCATTTTTCGGTATTTTTGTCTTTCCTTTTTGTAAAATTGTTTTCAATAATAGGAGATTTAGATTTCTTACCAGTTTGGGTTGAACCGCCCTCGTCCTCCAAGTCTTGCTCATCATCCGGGGTGCCGTGAGTCCCGTCGCCCCCCGCGTCCTCCTCCGCATCGTCATCCTCGAGCTCCTCTTCATCAATGGTTGTCGGGATGGGTTGTTCTTGTGCAAAGCGTGGATCGTTTTGGGATAATAGGTTTTGTAGATGCTCGTCGGACATCATCATATCATCTCTCCGTTGGTAATCCGTTTCAAAATCATCTCGACTTTGAAAAGAAGACTTGGCCCGCGCTTTACCTTTGCCTTTGCGTGAAGTAGGACGAGTCGACGCAATCTCCCTGGCCTCTTGCGGTTGCGTTGGAGATTACCCACATCTACAGAATGTCTACCACGTTCCATCTTTAAAATTGAACAAATATTAAATGATATCAAATATTTTATATGAGTACAATAGTAATAATAAAATGTGACTAAGAAAATTATAGCAAATTCGAACTAAAATATGAGTATAAAAATCGAACTACTTCTAATTAATACTTTAATGAGAAATGTATCAATTAACTAAATATTAACTAGTTTGACTAATATAAATATGAGAAATGTAAAAATTAACTAGTTTTTTTTTACTTTAATGAGCAATGTACAAATTAACTAATATTAATATGAGAAATGTAACAATTAGGTAGTTTAACTAATATTAATATGACAAATTTAACAACTAACTACTTTAGGTAGTTTTTAAAATGACAAATGTAAAAATTTACTAGTTATTTTTACCTTAATGAGAAATGTATACTTTAACTAATATTAATATGACAAATGTAAAAATGTACTACTTTTTTTACTTTAATGAGAAATGTAGCAAGTAACTAATATTAATATGAAAAATGTACCAATTAAGTAGTTTCACTAATATTATTATGACAAATGTAAAACTTAACTAGTTTTTTTTTACTTTAATGAGCAATGTATGAAATAACTAATTTTAATATGACAAATGAAACAATTAAGTACTTTAACTAATTGAAATATGACAAATGTAAAAATATACTACTTTAACTATTTTTTTCTTTAAAGAGAAATGTAGAGAAATGTAGAGAAATGTAACAATTAACTAATTTAATAGATAAATGAGAAGTCTAACAATTAACTACTTAATAGATAAATGAGTCCAACAATTAACTACTATTATAAGTAATATATAATATAATGTTTATCGTATATAATATATAAGTATATTACTATAAGATAAGTAATACACTTATACTTAATACTTTAATATATATATATATATATATATAAGTATATATTAACTAAATATAATATGTAAATATAAGTAAATAACAATAGTATGTATACAAACTAAATATCAAATAAATATGAATGTGTATAAGTATATATAGTATATATAATGTGTAAATATATTATAAGTAATATATAATATAATGTTTATAGTATATAATATATAAGTATATTACTATAAGATGAGTAATAAACTTATACTTAATACCTTAATATATATATATATATAAGTATATATTAACTAAATGTAATATGTAAATATAAGTAAATAACAATAGTATGGATAATAACTAAATATCAAGTAAATATGAATGTGTATAGTATATATACTTATATAGTATATATAATGTGTAAAGAATTATAATATGAATGTGTATAAGTATATATTTATAAATAGATGATTAATATATAAGTAGATATAATAATTATATAAATTATATATATGTAGAAAGAATTTGGAGAAGATGATTGAATATGAGAGATTTAGAGTAGAGAATTAGAGAGTAGGAAGAGTTGTAGAAGAAGAGGTGTAAAAAATGTAGAGAAAATAGGAGTTTAAATAGATTTTTTTTATACTCCACCCCACCCCCACCCGACCCCCCCACCCCACCCCCCCTAACCCCCCAGACCCCCCCTCCTATGCTCCCAACGGCTAGGAGCCTTCTAAAAAAAAATTAAAAAATATGGCCGTTGGAGGCCCGAACCCGGACCGCTATACCACCGGGCCGGGTGGCCCGAACCGGCTAAGAACCGGTTTACCGGGCCGGTTGGCCCGGCCCGAGTCCACCCCTATACAAGCACAATCAAGTCCATACAACTTGTTTCTCAAAGAATGTGTAAAATATATAATTAAATTGGTAAAAATATAGGTAGCCATGAACCGGTTCCGGGCCGGGGCCGGGCCGGTCCCAAACCGGGCTTTTTAATATTGGGTGAAGGCCCAGAACTGGCCCGGGTTTCTTCCGGGTCCGGTCCAGGCCGGTCTCGGTCGATTCCCCCCCCCCCCCCCCCCAACACCTAGCCCAATTCAGGAAAAACAAAAAAAATGAAAAAAAATCCAATAATATATTGATAGCTTATTGACCTTATTCATTGGGACAAATGTATTTTTTTTGTAAATCAAATCTCACCAGCCTATTCTGGACATGTATATTTCCTTTATCAAAAGACAATTAATTTGTCTATAACTACTATCACATACTCCGTACTATGTAAACACTTTCAGAATGAATACGCACAGCTCAATCCTTCTACCTCTTATCATCATCTATACCAGCATCTAATAATCTAATGTGTGAGTATTGTGTAAACCTATTATTTTTATTACCTTATACAAACAAAAAAAGTAATTTTTCTATAATGAATTATATTTAGATGTTTGAAGTTAACGATAAAGAACTACTCTTGATTGAATGTTTATTAGAAACGGTTATAAACTAAATAAATCCACAGCTAATAGAATCTATCTATCATCACTAGTTATATAGTTAAAATTTGTCTTTAATATATACAGAGTAGCAATTAGCAATGCTTACATACAAATTTTAAATGTAATAGACAATTAACTCCATTCATGCTTGATTTTGTTTCAGAAGACATATATATCCAATTGTTTCGAGGTGAAATATTTTTATAACAGTGTTGCAGAAGGCATGTTTTGAGAAATAGAATACAAAATTAACATGAGATACTATAGTTGAAGTGGGCTGAATTTTCAAAAAAGATTACAACATGATTTTAGTACTATTTTCGCTTAGAGTCAGTTCATGTACGTATACAATGAGAAAAGTTAAATTAGTTAGATGGGTTCGCTCCTTAATGGTAGAAAATCATACTTCGTAGATATGTATTAGTAGTAGTTATGTTAGTTTTTTTAATAATTATGGTAAAGCAGTCAATTTAGTTGAAATGTATTATATTAGGAATCGGATGTAAAGAATTCTGTTTGATTTAGGGTGATAAAAATTTCAGCAACTAGCATATATTTCAGCAACAAACATTATACTTCGGGGGGGTTCAATATTGTTTTGAAAACGAGTTATAGTAATTAAGGAAAAACAGTTAGTTCACATGTGTAAAGTAAGAACGGGGAATGTTAGGGAATAACAATTTATTTGAGTATCGAGTTGAAATTCAACACAATAAAGGTACAGCACACTGATGATTACCCAAAATTGTTACTTATAGCAATTAAAAACGAATTAAAAAAAATTAATCTGGCGATTTTCATACATATTAGGAAAAACAAGAAACATACGAGTATTTTCTTAAAAAATTAAGTTAACTTTAATGTATCGAGTATACTTCATAGCAAGGGTCCAACACAGTAAAGGTCCACCAAAAGTTTCTGAAAAAGGAACTCTTTGTTCATCATACGGTCATACGGAGTAGTATATACAGTCATAAAGAACATGTATAAAACCACACTTGATAATACTTGTACGGTTACGTTCAAGCTTATTCATAATAATTTACGAAATTGATTATCAGCCACATTTGATAATACTTGTTTGATATGCACTCATTTTCTTATTTCCCAAATATCGTGAGACCAAGTAGTAATTAATTTTACACAATATATTCCAATTACATTGAAATAAAGTTACTTTCACGTTTGAACGATATACATCTTAGTAAGATAACATCCCTTCAGATATTTGTATTTCTGATTGCCAGTTCCAACCTAAACCGTTTCAAACTCAGTTAGGAAATAGGAACTGGCACTTTGCAGCATACATATCTAATAAGAACATACAATTTAGAGAAGATGAGGTGATTCTTTTTACTTGTTTTGTTTTCAAATTTTTTAGCTCATTGAAGTCCATACACTAGTAAAGCTCCAATTCCACCGATCCCAGCTAAAAGCCCAATGATGACTCCGATGGGAGGCAGCCCCCCACCGATGGGTTTTCCGGTGTTTACGTCATATCTTACAAACCTCTTCTTAGGCGCTCTGCACTGAGGACATGTGTAGGTCTCCGGCTGGGTGCATATCAAACAAGTATTATCAAATGTGGCTGATAATCAATTTCGTAAATTATTATGAATAAGCTTGAACGTAATCGTACAAGTATTATCAAGTGTGGTTTTATACATGTTCTTTATGACTGTATATACTACTCCGTATGACCGTATGATGAACAAAGAGTTCCTTTTTCAGAAACTTTTGGTGGACCTTTACTGTGTTGGACCCTTGCTATGAAGTATACTCGATACATTAAAGTTACCCACCGATGGGTTTTCCGGTGTTTACGTCATATCTTACAAACCTCTTCGAAAGGCTTTTGCATTGTGTAGATGTATCCACAATCAAGGCATATGTGTGTTGCTCGGGCCTAAGGAAAGCAACCATTGGCACACAAAAGCACAAATAAGAAAAAGGAACAGATTGTCGGATTCATTGATCACATAATTTACGAAACGAAAGATGCAATGCTGAATTACTAAACTTACCTTTTGAGCTTCAGTTAACTTCCTTCCAAAGCGAGGAGGGGCCGGTCGCTTATTCAATCTCTTAACATCTACTTCAGCTCCCCTGCACCAAAAATTAGGTCCTAAATAAAATCAAAGTGAAGATATTGTCTTAGATGAGATTATAATTGTGTGCACATGTTGAGAACAGAAAAATAAAAATCAACGGGGTGAACCGTTGCCCAGATAATCAATGATAAAAATACTGTTGCCCAAAGCCAAAAGGCTTAAACCAATTTTACTCCGAGATGAGCCAGAATGAATCCTAACAAGGGGTTTAAATACCCATCTACTAACTCTTAAACTAGGAAACAAAATCCTAGAGATCCTAATCAACTCCAACAAGGAAACAGAATAATAAAGATCCTAATCAACTTCAAATAGGAAAGAAATAATAGAAATCCTAATTGACTCCTCATAGGAAACACATATTAGAAATCCTAATTAACTCCAAAAGGAAACAAATCAGGAAAAATAAAAAGAATAAATATTAATTAAACAACCCGCAACCAACCCACGAAGGTGGGCCCAAGCCCGTCCCGCCTTCGGTAAACCCACGGGGGCTTCTTCCCCTCTTCTTCCAAGCCTAGATTCTGCTTCATATCACCACATCTAAGCCATCTCTACTTTTATATATGATGAAG